AATCAGTTAGCATACATTAGACTGAAAGTAGCCAAAACATCATAGCAATGGATAAACAATGTGGAAATCTATTAGCTCACATGATAGGAAGTCCTAGGGTAGCACGGAATTTAGGAATGGTTAGTTCAGCAGCTCAACAATATCGTCAGGGCCCCAAGTTTTGTCCATCTCCCACCATATCATCAACCTGAAGCTGGTGTCCCTGGAAACCATAGCTGCTAGCTGCAAGCAGGGCAATACACAAGGAAGGTTGGGTGAAGGAAATCAACCGACAAGCTTTGCCTACAGCACAACTGTGCCCAGAGCACCAATTCCCAAGATTAAAGAGGACCTTGAAATATTATCCATTCTTGTATGTAAGCTTTGGTGGTGTAAGATAGTCAGAATGGAATGAATAAAGGGAGAAAGAGGAAGAAAGCCCAAGAAGGGAAATGTAAAAAAAATTTTAAGACATTAATTATATTAATTATTCCCTTCTTATAAAGTAAGAGGACTATAAGTAAGTTAAAATAAACTCTGTTTTAAATGCTTTTTAATTCCCTTTCAACCACGAGGAGTTATCCGATTTTAATGTTTTCTTACAACCACAGTAGATTTTGTGTGTGTGTGTGTGTGTGTGTGTGCTGCACTGTGCGGCTGGTGAGATCTTACTTCCCCAACCAGGGATTGAACCTGGGCTCTTGGCAGTGAGAGTGTGGAGTCCTAACCCACAGTAGCATTACTGAAATCAAGAAATTAATATTGAAAAAATTCATACTGATTCCCTTCTTTTCTTGTTGCTCATGGAAGATGCTTTAAATTGTAGTAAAATATACATAACATAAAATTTACCATTATAACCATTTTAAGTGTACAATTCAGTGGCATAAAGCACACTCACATCATTGTGCAACCACCAGCACTATTCATCTTCAGAAATTTTTCATCATCCCAAACTGAAACTCTGTACTCATTAAACAATAACTCCCCATTCCCACCTGCCCCCAACCCCTGGTAACCACCCTTCTACTTTCCTTCTTTATAAATCTGACTATTCTAGGTATCTCAAATGCATTGAACCATATAATATTTGTCCTGTGTCTGGCTCATTTCACTTAGCATAGTGTTTTCAAGGTTTGTTCACGTTGTGGCATTTATCAAAATTTCATTCCTTTTTAATCCTGATTAATATTCCATTCTATGCATATACCACATTTTGTGTACCTATCCGTTCTTAAATGGGCATTTGAATTGCTTCTTCCTTTTGGGTGTAATAAAGAATGCTGCTATGATCATTGGGGTACAAAGAGCTGTTCAAGTCCCTGCTACCAATTCTTTCGGGTATATGCCTAGAAGTGGAATTGCTAAATCATATGGTAATTTGATGTTTAATCTTTAAGGAACTACCATACAGTCTTCCACAGTGGCTGTACCAATTTACATGCCCATCAGCAATGCACAAGCTTTCCAATTTCTCCACATCCTCTCTAAGACTTGTTGTTTTCTGTTTTGATTTTGCTTTTTATACTAGCCATCCTAATGGGTGTGGAGTAGTATCTCATTGTAGTTTTGATTGCATATCCCTAATGATTAGTGATGTTGAGCATCTTTCCATGTGCTTATTTGCCATTGTATTATTTTCTTTGGAGAAGTGTCTATTCAAGCCTTGTTTTTCAATTGGGTTGTTTTTTTGGAGGTGGGTGTTTTATTGTTGTTGAGTTACAGCAGTTCTTTATACATTTTGAATATCAATCCTTTATCATATATGATTTGCAAATACTTTCTCACATCCTATTGGCGTCCTCTTCACTCTGTTGATAGTCTCCTTTGATGCACAAAAGTTTTTATTTTGATGAACTCCAATTTGTCTATTGCCTATGCTTTGGTGTTATATCCAAGAAATCACTGCCAATTCTAATCTCATGAAGATTTTCCTCTATGTTTTCTTCTAAGAGTTTTATAGTTTTAGTTCTTTAACCCATTTTGAGTTAGTTTTTGTGGTGTAAGGTAAGGGTCCAACATCATTCTTCCGCATGTGGATATCCAGTTTTCCCAGTACCATTGTTGAAAAGATTGTCTTTTCTCCATTGAATGGTCTTGACAACCTTCTCAAAAATCATTTGACCATATGTGCAAAGGTTTGTGTCTGTGTTCTCTATTCTATTCCATTTGTCTGTATGTCTATTTTTATGCCAGTACCACACTGTTTTGATTACTGTAAATTATGTAGTAAGTTTTGAAATGAGAAAGTGTGAGTTCTCCAGCTTTGTTCTTCTTTTTCAAGATTGTTTTGGGGGAGTCCACTGGTGGTCTAGTGGTTAGGCTTCAGCGCTTTCACTGTGGTGGTCTGGGTTCAATCCCTGATCCAGGAAATGAGATCCTGCAAACCTCTCGGTGAGGCCAAAATTAAATAAATAAATAAAAATTAAAAATGGCTTCACACACACAAAGATAGATTGTTTGAGGTATTTGGGATCCTTTGAGATTCTATATAAATTTTAGAGTGGGTTTTTCTACTGCCACAGAAAATAACATTAGAATTTTATAGGGATTGCATTATATCTGTAGACCACTTTTGGAAGTATTCATATCTGAACAATATTAAATCTTCCAATCCATGAACACAAGATGTTTTTCCATTTATTTATATCTTTTCTTTTTTTTGTTGTTTTTTTTTGTTTTTTGTTTTTTGGCGGTACGCGGGCCTCTCACTGTTGTGGCCTCTCCCGTTGCGGAGCACAGGCTCCGGACGCGCAGGCTCAGCGGCCACGGCTCACGGGCCCAGCCGCTCCGCGGCATGTGGGATCTTCCCGGACCGGGGCACGAACCCGTGTCCCCCGCATCGGCAGGCAGACTCTCAACCACTGCGTCACCAGGGAAGCCCCTATATCTTCTTTTCTTCAGCAATGTTTTGTAGTTTTCAGTGTATAATATACTCATGTTAAAATTTTAACATATGGTGAGCATTTTCCATATCATTAAATAAATTCTTTGAGAACATGATTTTTGGTAGCTGTGTAGCATCTCATCAAAGAGATGTTCTATAACTTACCTAATTAATGCCTTATGTAGACATTTTATTTGTATCTAATTTTTTATATTATAAACAGTGGTCTGATAAAACGCCACTGTGCATACTATTTTCATGTACCTTTAGCTATTTCCTTTGGACAAATTCTTAGAAATGAAAGTATTAGATCAAAGAAGTGAAAATTAAGAAGGTTTTTTTTGCAGGGGAGGAAGGAGGTGTCTTTTTTATTGTGACAAAAAACACATAACAGGGCTTCCCTCGTGGCGCAGTGGTTGAGAGTCTGCCTGCCGATGAGGGGGATGCGGGTTCGTGCCCCGGTCCGGGAGGATCCCGCATGCCGCGGAGCAGCTGGGCCCGTGGGCTGTGGCCACTGGGCCTGCGCATCCGGGGCCTGTGCTCCACAGCGGGAGAGGCCACGGCGGTGAGAGGCCCGCGTACCACAAAACAAACAAAAAAAACCACGTAACATTAAATTTACCATCTTAACCATTTTTTAACCACAGTACAGTAGTGTTAACTACATGGATGTCCTTGTGCAAAGATCTCTAGAACTTTTTCATCTTGCAGAACTGAAAGGAGGTTTTAAAATATTCATCCACAGTGATCTTTAAAATACAGTACTATGGTTTGAATGTTTTCCTCCTTTCTACTTCTCTGTAGTTTCCAATTTTCTATAAAATTAGAATTTTTAAAAGAAAGAATGTGAATCAGGCTTATTAAATTTATGTGTTTCAAATAAAATTGTTCAGGGCAAACAATTTATTAGCATTAGACTTAAATAGCAAGAATCCACACTAAGGAACGAGACAGGTGTATCACGGTTACATCTGTTTGAGGACCAGCTCCTTCTAAAGCAGTGGTTTGCAACCAGGGTTGATTTCACTCCCCCAGGGGACATTTGGCAATGTCTGGAAATATTTTTTGGTTGTCATAACCTTGAGAGTAATGCAAATAGTATGAGGTTGTGAAATCCTGTTCTAAAGAGTGGAGCACCAGAAGCTGCTGGGGGGATGGGGGGTGGGTGGTAAGGAAGGAAGACTCTAGCGCCTGGAACCAGAGCATTAACTAGGGAGCAACCAGGCTTGCCCAGGGCTGGGGAAGGTAGAGAAGGCAGAGTCTTCCCAAGATTGTAGGATTTTAAATCTGTTACATTTGCATGTTAACTTGAATTTTCAGCAGCTAGAACTAATTAACCTTAGCACCTGGTTTGCAAAATTATTGGTTAAATAAAAAGTTACAGTGTGACTAACAACCACCCGTTAGTCCCCTCATGAACTCCAAAGTTGCGGGCTTCCTGCCGGTGGGCTGGAGGCAGCAGCTGAGTCTGGAGGCGGCCCTGGTCCAGTCTTCAGGGAGCAGAGCCGAGCCAGGTGCTTAAAGAGGGCTTCCTCGGGGTCCAACCCCCGTCACCTTTCCTCCGGTGTGTTGCCTGCCGCACCCGCTCATCAGCGGGGAGTCTGGTAGGAGCTTCTCTTAGAGGAGAATCCCATCCTCCTTCAGACGTCCTGCGGAGAAGGCAGGTGCCTCCCACGTCCCACGTCCTCACACCAAGGAAATGCTCTCTTATCTAAACGCCTCCCGCTGGAGCCCATCCTGACCGCTGACCCGGTCACTACCCGGTGTTGTTCCTCAAAAAGAGATCATTTCGAAATTCAAAAAGGTGAAAAAATGTTTCATTACAAGCATTAACCCCGTTAGGCGCTTTTGCTCGCTTCCAGTCTCCTGAATAGGCTTCATTTAAAGGCCCCAGAGGCACCAAGTGACAGTTTTACGCGGGTCATCAGTTCGAAAGCTCTGGAGAGACTAAGAGAAAACATACAATAAGTCCCCCGTCCACCCCCGCCGTCATTATATAGAAGAGAGAGAGAGGAAATCCTCCTCACGCGGGGGCCCCTTTTGTGTCGTTCCTGCCAACGCAGCAGCCCTCCTGCTATATAGACCCGCGCGCCCGCCCCACCGCACTGAACTCGCATCCCCGCATCCAGCAGCCATGGGGAAGGTGAGCCCCGCGCCGGCGGGAGGGGCCCGCAGCCAGGCTGGAGCCCAGGCCTCTGAGCCCTGTCCTTTCCTTCCCTGCAGATCACCTTCTACGAGGACCGGGGCTTCCAGGGCCGCCACTACGAGTGCAGCAGCGACCACGCCAACCTGCAGCCCTGCTTCGGCCGCTGCAACTCCATCCGGGTGGACAGCGGATGCTGGATGCTCTATGAGCAGCCCAACTACCAGGGCCAACAGTACTTCCTGCGGCGCGGCGACTACCCCGACTACCAGCAGTGGATGGGCCTCAATGACTCCGTCCGCTCCTGCCGCCTCATCCCCCACGTGAGTCCGGTTCCCCTGGGCCTGCTGTGCCCTCGGGTCACACCAGTGCTCCAGACACAGTGGTCAGGCTGCAGGACGGTGGCCTTCTTTTGCTGGCTCTAACCGGGTTCTCTTTCCCTTTATTAATGTCTTTAAGGTTTCTTTCCACCGAAAAATTGAGTGATGCAATGCTCTTAATTGAAATTGTATTCTCCTTTGCTAAAATTAAGCTCACCTCTACTGGGCAAAAGTGGTGCACGGCATTAGTTTAGAGCGTCTGTGCCACCGCTGAGGAATAAGCAACAGGTGAACTCCTCACACCCAGGTGCCCTTAGGCTAGTTACTGGGCTACTTCTCTCCTTCCTCATCTGTAAAGCGGGGTTAATAAGGGCAGTTGGTTCATCGAACTGTGATGAGGTCAAAAGGAGATTGCCCAGCACATGGCAAACTACCCCCTCCTCCAAATATTAACCATTATGAATATCAAGGGTCCCTCAAGTTCTGCTTTTTGATTAGGCAAAACAAATAACCAACAATGTGATTCTAGTAGCACCTGCAAAGCCCACTGCTACCCAAGTAAAGCCCGAGCAGCCTGGAATTCCACAGTTAGGGAGACTTTAATTTGCCTATGACAGAGTCCTGTGGAAAATGTACCACTCGGGAAATTTGAAATCCCCTCAGAGGGTTGAAAGCCTTGATAGGACCCAGACTGGCATTAGGAGCCTGGAAATCTGGGCTTTTACTTTCCAGCCCTCTTTGATTACAGCCTGAAAGCTCTAGTCATTAGTTTCTCTTAAAAGAAGAAGAGACTTAGAATGGTTGCTCCACGTGTGTCAGGCTGTTGTGAAGATCAAATTAGATAACGCACACGTGAGTCTTTTGCAAACCATGGAAGATACCTTATTAGCAGTTTTTTATACCTCAGAATGAATTGCTTATGAGAACCTTTCCTAACGAGGATTCAATGGTGGAAGAAAGAAGAAGGAATTGAGTGGGTACCTGCTGCGAAGGAATAAGCAGATAAAAGAACAAGTGCTCAGGAAGAGACAGACAGGATTTGCCCAGGACTGACAGCCTGCCCTTACATTTTTCTAAAGGTTTTATAATCTATTGATCTAGACAGGCCTCCTTCATGATCTTGAGCTTCTATTTTTATTAATTACCTAAAAGTGTTTTGCCAGACCATATATTAGAGGTGAGAACTGAAACCTAATCGTTACGATGGCTCTTGCTTCTCAGGATTTTAGAATAGCAGGACTCAAAGCAGAAAGGAAGGGATTAAGGAGTTGCCTGGGCTGGACTGCCACCACCTGTGCTTCACTTTGGGGAAAGCAATTCGACTTCCTCTCTTCCCAGCCTCTTCTAATGCTATCGAGATTGAAAATAATGCCTTTTGCCAGGGATATATTTGTCTTTTTATTTTAATATCTAATTATTTTTATATCCTCCAAGGAGAGCTCCAGACCACCGTTTAAGTCTATAAAGGAGAGAGCAAAAATTATATATAAAAACTGTCACTTAAGAATGGTACTAAGTAGGTACTAAATATGATTCATGTAGGTTGTGGCCCTAGAAAACTATGGAGCACCATGAATATCTTGATCTGTGTGAATGGCACCCTCTTCAGTTTTGCAGTGTGCAATCTACCCAACTATACCCAGTGGCCCTGGTGTTGGTTGTCTTTTTAATTTGTCATCTTTGATATAGAAAAGATTTAAAAAATGCCCATTCCCCCAGCAGTGTGAGTGATTGGTTGCTAAAGCCTAGGTTTTCTGACCCTTCCCATCTGCTGATTGCTGAACCCAGACCAGCTCCCACCGGCTGAGGATGTACGAGCGAGAGGACTACCGAGGCCAGATGGCGGAGCTCACGGAAGACTGCTCCTCGCTCCGCGACCGCTTCCACTTCAATGAGATCCGCTCCCTTCACGTGCTGGAGGGCTGGTGGGTCCTCTATGAGATGCCCAACTACTGCGGGCGGCAGTACCTAGTGAGGCCGGGGGACTACAGGAGCTACCACGACTGGGGGGCCCTGGATGCCAGAGTGGGCTCCCTGAGGAGGGCCGTGGATTTCTACTGAAATATTTTTACTCTACTGTTTTCTCCATCTGGAAGCTAATAAAATATTTCCTGTGTGTCTCCTGCAGTTATGTAGCTTTCTTTTCCTTTCAGATTCCTTTGAAAGAAAGGCTCAGCAAAAATAAAGCTGGGGATAACGTGGATTTTCTTACATGTATCAGCGGAAAGGGTGGTGTGGGGAAGCAGTTAAGAGGACAGGCTCTGGAGCCGGAATGCCTGGGTCCACATCCACTTACTAGCTATAGGCAATGGAGCAAGTTAGCACTTTTAACACTTTTGTGTCTCAGTTTTCTAATTTGTAAAAAAGGGGGTAATAATACTTTTCTCTTCATAGAAGTTAAATGTGGCTTAATTAAGTTAATAGCCATAATTCTCTTACAACGATGGCAGGCACAAAGCAACTGATATATAATAAGAACTTACAACATAAGTGTTCCTTAGTTATTACTGAGTATCTGGACCTTGTACATTAGTGTTTTCAAAGTATCAGTAATGGGTTGAGGATCACCTGCGACACCAGTTAAAAGACAGAATCCTAAACCCCACCCCACAGGTGATTCATATGCAAATGAAATTTAAGAACTGCAGTTCTAAATCTAGTTTCCTGTACTACAGAATTACATCCGAAAAGACTGAACACCTCCATTTTTAGACACTGGGCTCTGTACCAGGAAACAATGAGCAGAAGTGGGTCCTTGTCTCCAAGAGCTTACAGTCTAGTGAGGGAGCAGAATATCCAACAGAATTTTTAAACTAATTATCCCAGGAGCATGGTTGTTGCATGTATGTCTACACGACTGCGGGAGCATTGAGGAGGAAGAAGCCCAAGATACTTGTCAGAGTATCTGAGATGCTCCTACTGCAACTTCATCCATCCCTAAGAAGGACTTTGAATTCCCACCACCACACTGAGAATTATCAAAGACGCGGCTTATAATCAAGTATCAAAGACCCGGCTCCAAAATTCTTCTGGTAAAATTTCTAACAGAATGCTAGGAAAAAGAGATTGAAACAGATGATCATACCGACATGACAGGCAATATAACAAAGGGATTAGAACTCTAAAATATGACTGCAGTTAGACTGCATTAGTTCGAATCTCAACTATATCTTGTATGAGCCAGGCAAGAGTCTCAGATCGGGTTCCCCCAGACACAGATCATGAACCAAGGATTCAGGAAAAGTGACTTATGGAGAAGTGCTCCCACAAGGAAAGGTGAGGGAGTTGAAGAAGCAAGATGGGGAAGAAAATGCCAACTTAGCCAGATCCCTTGGAGAGCCTCAGAGCATGGATCATACCTCCAAGTTTCTCCCGCCTGGAGACAAAGGATCTGGGGGCTGGTTATCTGACAACAGTCCCCTTTGCCATTGAACACAGGGCAAGGGAGACACAAAACTCCCAGAGCCTTTGGACTCTCCTCACTGGCTGGTAAGGGGCAGTCATCAGAAGGTTGCAGGGCAAGCGTTAGCAGCAAAGCCTGCCGAAGCTGGGCACTCAGAGCTGCAAAGAAGGCCTGAAAGGATCTGGGCAGAGTGTACCTCGTCAGTATAATAGGGATAGTAAAAGTCCCTCCCTTGCATGGTGTGAGGTTAAAATGATATAAAGCCTGTAAACACCAAGTACAGTGCCTGGCACATGGTAAGTGCTCACCAACCGTCTACAATTATTATCATCAGCAGCATCATTATTATTATTAAGTTCTATGGATTTGGGAGAAATGCATATAAATGTTGTGGAAACACCATAAACTAATCTTGTCCCACAGGGAAGAAAGCATGGCACATACGAGGGAAACAATGAGTAATTTGAGTTGACCAAAATATGAAGAGCCCAGAGAAGTAAGAGAGAAGGTGGTCTGATAGTTAAGGCCAGACCTGGGAGGGAAACAGCATTAGTCATCAGACCTTGGCTGAGACAGAAGTGATATTGTCAGTAGGCTCAGAACCAGCATCTAGAACCTGAGCTCTAAAGTCAAAAGCATTTTAAAAAATAAAAGGAGAGCAATGGAACAAGCAAAATTATTTCAAATCCACATAAGCAAAAACCAGTAAAGGAGAAGCATTAGTACAGAACACTAACACTGCTTCTTCCTCCACAAGCAACGTGACCCCATTCTCCTCCAAGAGGCCGAAGCTAGCTGCCTACTCAGACCTGTGAACTGGAAAATGTGATTGTGTAGGGGCTTCCCTGGTGGCACAGGGAGCACGTGTTTGAGCCCTGGTCAGAGAAGATCCCACATGCCGCAGAGCAACTAAGCCCATGCGCCACAACTACTGAGCCTGCGCTCTAGAGCCCATGAGCCACAACTACTGAGCCCGTGTGCTACAACTACTGAAGCCCACATGCCTAGAGCCCATGCTCCGCAATAAGAGAAGCCACCGCAATGAGAAGCCCGCACCGCACAACAAAGGGTAGCCTCCACTCACCGCAACTAGAGAAAGTCCACACACAAGCAACGAAGACCCAACGCAGCCAAAAATAAATAAATTTTTTTTAAAAAAGAAAAGGTGGTTGTGTAATAATCAACACAAGCTATTTAAAACCTTTACATTTTCACTGCCACTCCTTCTCACATTACCTTTCATCAAAACTATTCCAATAACTTCTTAACTTAGTTACTTTCTCCTCGGCCCTTCCAGCTCTCGTTAAAAAACAACTTTTTTCTCTAAGAACAAAACTAGTATATTGAATACATTGTTTGGGCATATGTGTTGCTTCTGTTAGGATTAATTGCTAAGGTTATTTGAAGAAACTTGAAAATAAAAAGAAAGAGGAAGGGGAGAGGAAGAAAACAGAGAGATACTAGCGGTGAGAGAATGGTGTCTCAGGACAGGTTGTGGCATTTATGGAGGTGAAAAGTGGTGAGATTCTGAACATATTCTGAAGGCGGGGCCAACAAAAACTCTTGCTGGATTCAATGTGGAGGTGAGAGAGAGGTTTGGTCTGAGCAACTGGAAGGAAGGAGTTGCAGTCAACCCAAACAGGGAGAACTGCTGAGGAGCAGGTTTGTGGAGGAAAACCAGGAGGTCCCATTTTGGACAAGATGAGTTTGAGGTGTCCGTGAACATCTAAGTGGAATTGTTAACCAGGCAACTGGTTATACTAACCTGGAGTTCAGGAGAGAGGCTGGGCTGGAGATCTACTTTTGTAAGTCATTGGTGGGTAGATGGTATTGAAAGTTATAAGCCTGAACAGGATGTCCAAGGGAGTGTGTGTAGGTGGAGAAGCCTGGGGTGCACTCCAGCTTTAAGAGCACAAGACAAAGAAGAATGTATGGGTCAGGGAAAGCTAAATGCTGTAACAAAGAGCACCAACAGTTCAGTGACTTACACAATGAAAGTTTTATCTTTCATTTAAAAAAATAATAAAATAAAATGTTAAACAATAAACAGAGGTTTTTTGGTTTTGTTTTTAACATAATGACTTTTTAGCTAGTTCTTCAGACCAGATACATCCAGAAACATTGAAGTCAGCAGGAACAATGCCAATATAATTAGAGAAGTGGAATCTAATTGTTTTATATCACTTTTAATTTTTTGCCCATTATACTAAAAAGCACTACATACAGATTCTTCAAGGAAATTTGGAAAATTGTAATGAATACTTAAAAATACCAGGATGCCCTGTATACATCTATAAATCTCCTTCAGTTTGAACATAAATGTGATTATGAATAAAGCTGTTATAAACAAACAAACAAAAAATACCAGGGTGCCTATGCACCCACATTTAGAATTACTAAGAGAGAGAGATTAAGGACTTCGAAGCTGTGGTAGGCAGAGCGACAGAGGCCTGGCGCACAACTGCCTAGATTTACTTCCTCTTAGATGAGAGCACCACCCAGTGCTCACCAGAAGGAAGGCAGTTATGGTTTAAAAGTTTGTCGCAACATCACAATTACTAAGAGATTATTTTGCACCTTTTAAGTATACTGTTATGCCCTGTAGGCAAGATAAACTTATAACTTAGCCGAAGAGCTTATTAAGTAAGTGTAAATTGTACTCAAATAGCAGTGTTTGAGAGCTTTGTGACACAGCATAGGTATTTCCTAAGAGAAGGTGAAGAAAGTCACGTTGGTTGGTCTGTGTTCACCGGAGCAGCTGTGGCCCTTCGGAGAAGGGAATCCAGCATTTGTTTGTGCCTTTTCACAGAGCTTATGTCTTCTCCTCCATCTCCCAACATCTGACAGATCCATTTCTAATTTATGAAACTTTGAGTTCATGGGTAAGATAGATCCCATACCCTTGTTCAAATACTTCCTTCACTTTTACCTTCAAGCTCAACACCTATTTACTTATGATTTCTCAACCAACTCTTTTTTACATCCTTTACATTTTTTCTTACCATTGTATATGAGTAGTTCTTTTACCAGAATATTGATTCATCTCTTTTAGAAAACAGGGACAGCTATGCCACATGTCATTGGCTGACTTCCTGTGTCTCTATCCCTCTCTCAGTGTCTACAGACATATATGGTTGTTCATAATCCACTGGTCTTAAAATGTCTCAGATCAATCTAGGTGTATTCAGAGATGATGAACAGCGTGTAGGGCAGCTCCTCTGCCCATCCTTGCATTTGAAAGCCACGACCTTGGCTCTTTAGAATAACACCCAAGCTGGCGTCTTGAGGCTGCTTTGAGCAGTATCCTCCAAACGATGTTTGTCTTTCTGCCTGAATCATCCCACTGCCAGCTTATGCTGGTCTCAAAGGTGGGAATTGGGAACTGTTGATAGAGTGCATAAATATAGCTCCTGTTCTCATAGCCTTTGGGCTTTGTTAAGAGTTCCAGAAAACTTTCACCACACGTACCACATGAAAGGGGACCGCTGCAAATCAGCCCAGATCCCAGAGACCCACCAGGGTCTACCACACTCCCACTTGGAAACTTCCCTGTTCCCACTGACTCAGACTTTGTGGCCACCTGCCTCACCCTCTCAGGGTCCTGGCTTGGAAAATAAGATAAACCCTGTTGTACCTCATCATCTTTTCTTTCCTTGAA